AACGGTAACCTGGTTGCCGAGTTCACGAAGTGACATGGCTTGTTTTAAAACGGCGTTGCCAAGCGACGAAAACCCAATCCCGATGGCAAACACCGAGAGGGAGGGGGGAGGGGGGGGCTCATTCGGTACACGCCGTGCAAATTCTCGGAGTCCTTGGGCCTTAACGAAGACCGATGCATCCCTGCCAATACGGAAGAGGCATACGGTAGGATGAGCTTGCCCGAGTTCCACCTTGGAGTTTGGCACTGACTGACCGCACCATGAAACACACAAATCGAAGGAGCGCGTTCTGTCTACAACGTGCGATCAACATATTTCATTTCGAAATATTTCGTGCTTCGGAACAACTTCCTCAAGCGGCAGAGGATGTTTTCCATCGATGCCTTCTCAGGAGCAAGCTGGAGGCTCGTCGGCGACTTACCGTGCCTGCCCAGGCACCGGAGTTCATCAGTGGCACGTGCAACCGGTGCCAAAAGTTGCCCCGACTGGCTCTATTTCGCGGGGAGGTATGTCGAACAAAAAAAAAATTCGCAGGCAAATTTCTCTGCGCAAACAAGAAGACCCTGTATTCCTGCGCAAAGCACACACGGGTTCCCACAGACCATGGGCAACCGTACAGTACAAATGCATAAGAGCGACCGATCAAACGCCTCGGGTTGCAGCAGTGGGATCTGCGGAAAGACGCCGCCAGCATAAAAGCACACACTCACGCACACGCGATAAGTCACAGGAAAAAATATATACCCCTCACGTTTGACGCAAATTCCGCAGGTTGTTCGGAAAAACCAGCCCTACCAAACGTTGAGACGCATCGAACCACCCGTGATGACCTTGGCCATGACTTCTTGCGTCGCCTCTGGGAATCAACAGGCACCCCTCACCCCGCCCGATCGCAAAGTGCTCCTCCCCTTACGAGACCAAGTTCGAGTATATCGCGCACGCAGAACACGAATGTTGTGGTGCAGTAACGGCTCCTCAATCTCACCTTGCCACCGTCTCCAAGAACCAAAAACGCTGGATTGGTCGATCCTCGAAGACCACGTCTGCAGCAAAAGCGACAGCAAGTGAAGCGCAACACAGTGAAGGACACGAAAGGAAATCAGCGACACCGCATCGCGGGCGTGAAATTTATGAGAATTCAGGCACCGGGTCTGAAGTCGTACCAGTGTTTCTCGAGACCGGGGCCTTTCTCCGCTCAAACTGTGGACTGAGGTGGACACAGTGGCTAGGAGTGCTTGACCGTGTTTTCATCTGTCACACGGAGCCAGCCTCTCTCCCCAATCCACACTCACGGGTGATCTCTATCGGGAGGCTATCGAACCAGAAGACCCATGCGATCGAAAAACTCCCCTCGGGGATTCCCTCAACCTACTTGCCCACCAATCCCTGATTACCGCCTCGCGTCACGCAAGAAACCCTCTGTGTATCCTCCTCACCCCTGCCTGCCCGCTTGAAAAGCCCTCCTCACTACAAAACCGTCCGACGCGCGAGATTGTGGATCGCGCGAACGCAAGGAGCTCTTGAATTTTGCTTTGGAAGCAAGAGCGCGCCTAGGAGTTCATCAAATCGAAGCACTACGAATGAATGAGCATCACCTCGTCACCCCTTCCACGGCTATATGAGTAACCCCCCCCCCCAACCCACCCACTCAACCCTCCAGCTCGCGGCTACATACACACGAACACAGTAGATACCAACGTCTCACCCAAGAACCAGCAGAGGGCCTTGTAGGGTGCCATAACATACCAAGGGGTCTGCGACCGCAGGATGTACCCCGCGGCCCTCAGCCCCTTGCGGGATTCATCCTCGAGGAAGGCCTTGGTTGCCGCAATCCTGGCCGTCTCCCTGTCCTCGATGGCCTTGTTGCTCAGCTTGAGTTCTTTCAGGCGGTTCTGCAGGTCCACCACGTCGGGGTCCTGTGGGAGGTCCACCCGCGACGGCCGGAGCACCGGGAAGACAGACCTGCCGAGGGTAGGGAGGGTACTCGGTTTGTAGGCGGGGCACCAGGGATGGTTCCCGTGTGATGTGTGGGGTGTAACGGTGATCGGGCTCAGCCCAGCCCTTAGTCGGAAGTCAGGCTAAGTGAGATGTGGGGATAAGCTGCAGGGTAGCTGCGCGGAGCGGTGTGTCGTTGGTGACGAGGTAATGGGGAGTCGGGGTTTGGTAAATTGAAGGCGGTAGTTGGTCCGCCGTCGGCGCGTGCCTGGAAAGTGCACACTCCGGGATCAGTCGGCCTCAAAATGCACCACACGCAGAAACCTCGGACGAAAGTTTCTCAAAGTGCAGCGTTGCGTTGCGCACGGAGCCACTGCTGCGGAGAGTGTCACGGCAACCAGAGGCTGTTGGATGCCCTGCCGCACCCAATGCTCTTCCAGCGACGGTTAGGACCTATTGTTCTGCAGCTTTGGTCCTGTTGGTCTGTCAGGAGCTCGAGGAAGAGGCCAGCGTCTCATGGTCTGCGAGGGCTGGGCCGGCATTGGGTGTTACGGGTGTCCAGACTGATCATCTATCGGCGGAACATGTACACGGGGAGCAATCCCAGGGTACGCAAAAGCAGTCATACAGGCTGCTGGTAATAGCTGAATGTCAGGACAAAGCTTAGTATGACGACATCACTCAACCCCACACCCAGTTCTCCGAAGTTCGGGCTTTTACTCACGTCTCGAGGAACCTATCGATGAGCGAGAACGGCCCAGCGATGCCAGTGTCCTTGAACTCTCCGAAACGGAAAGTTCTTCGAAGGGCCCGGTATTCTCTCGTGAACGTCCACCATGCCAAGGTGCTTGCGCTAATCGGAACGATGCTTTCCACCTCCTGCGTGTCCTCCTATCGTTGCGGAAGTAAAAAGAAATATGAGACCAGGGGGGCGTTGGCACGGCAAGAAACATTTTTTTGGTGTAGAAAGGCCGGCTATCTCTACCGCTCGCGTGTCGTTGTGACAAGCAAATAGCTAACACACAGCACACAGAACCTACCCCCATGCCTCTCCCTTTATCTTCCCGGCCTTCTCTCTCTCTCTCTCTCTCTCTCTCTCTCTCTCGCAAAAAAAAAACGATGCAAGGGAAGCATAGAGCATGACGCAGGCTCGACCCGTCGAGTCCCTCCCAGCTGCAACACCATCAATCAAAAAGCCTGTCGTCGAGAGGAGATGGCTGCCTGACGTGGTCTACAAGGCGACACCAGCACGCCAGTTGAACACGCCGCAATAGAGAAGACGCAACAGTGGCGGGGTGTAGACAAAATAAGGCACAGGCGCTTGCACCAACACACGTGTCTTTCAACGCTACAAATCTGTTCACTCTAACAAACGGGCGGAACGTAGGAACTGAACTCACACTTGGCCCTCAACGACACTGTTTGTTGCATACGTGCACGAGTACCACATCACGTCGGTTCGATTCGGTAAACTCGCACCAGGTACCGGTACCCGTAGTCGCCGGCCTGAGTCTTGTCTTCTTCCCTGAGCTCCACCACCGACTGTCCTCCGAGCGCAGACATGACGTCGTTGAGTTTTCCCGCAAGTCCCTCCATCCAGATAGCCTGCAGCGCAGCCTGGATGAGAACGCCCACAACCGAGGGACGCGGGCGCGGTGGTGCAGGCCCCAAGTTGATAAACTACTGGCCGCACATACACCCGTTGCGAGATTAAGCACTGTTCTTACAGCAGTTCCCTCCATACAAAATCAGCCAACACTTGGTATCTCTCACTGTTCGTTCCGCTACCCTGTTGGAGGTTGCTCCCTACGTCTCACTTCCATGAAGATGTCGCCTCAAGGCAAGGACTACTGCACTTGTCGTGCGGTTAACGGCAACAACAACAACAACAAACACTCAGCACAATCCGAACCTTTGTGCGCAAGTTTTTCGGGTTGTCCATGAAGGCTTGTAGGTCTCTCCACGTCCACGCCATTACACGGATCTCGTCGCTTTTCGCGCGCACGGTGGCGGTACGTGGCTGCACCCTTCCGGAGGTAAACGATGCTGATTTGTCATTGTCGGCGAATCACGGCGGATCCGGGACATTCGGGAAGGCGGGCGGGAGGGGGGGAGGGACAGCTCAAAGTGACAGCTCAGAGGGTGTCACCTTTGCAGAATTTTGTACTTCGAAGTAGGTTTTTTTCGTGAGCAAAAAGACGTTTCAACGTTGATGCTATACTAGTCCCAGGCCGCCCTGAGGTGGAAGAAGCGCCTGCGATCATCCTCAGGAAACTTCTGAAGGGAATTCTGCTTGCGACTCCTCGAACTCGAGCTCAAGGTGTGCAGGGTCAGCTCAAACACAGCCGTGCACACCCCTTGACTATTATGTACCAGAACATGATACCGAGTCGTTTGATCATCTCCAAAACAAGCATACTGTCGAACAAAACTTGGGGGCGGAAGGACAGAGAGTATCTCATACCGCATCCATATAGTTACCAACAAAGGTGAAGAGTGATAGGGCCGCCGCCACGCTCCGAACAACCGACACCTTGCCATTCCTCGGCCTACCCGGCACTTGAAATCGCTGGGTGTTCGGCCACAGCGTGGCAGGACGCCAGTGTACATCGACGCCAACCTATTCAACCTATTTGCCCGCGGCGGAGATACACATCACCGTGTGTTGTTCGAGGCAACGTACGTAGTAGACAGACATCGGTAGGCCATACACAACCATGAATTCATCCTCTAGATGATCCTGGACTCCTTCACCGATAGAGACTCGCGTTTTTTTAATGTATAAAAATAGAGAGGGGCTTTCACCCAACCTTGTTGCTGAAAGGAGAAAAAAGAGGTGTAGTCTACATGCGTGTGTCGTTTCAGAGGTACATGTAGTTGACTACATATAGCACGTATTTCCAAGAGAATAGACGTCACACATTGCAACACCCTAACATCTGTCCAATCGACTGCCCTCAAACACAGTGAGCTGTCACTGCATAGTAGATATTGCACCTTCCCCGACGAAGTCGCCTGGTGCAATTGATGCCACCGGTTTGCCCTTGACTTCGATCTGGCATTCCCCGTCCAAAAGTAGATAGAGCTGGCGGTCCCCTGGCTCATCGTAGGTGTCCCCCTGTGATATGAGCAGCTCGCTTCCTTTGAGAGAGACCACCTCGCCAACCTTGAGAAGAGCTGCCCACTCTCGCTCGCTTATGCCCTCCTTCGCCAGCCCAGCACCTGCAGGAGAATCTAAGGGTGGGCAGTCGCGGATTGTTCCCGCCGTTCCTCCCCATATGGCCATCTTCGCATCAAAGCGGCTGCTGCTACCCGTGCGGCGGCTGCAAGCTCTTGTCCGGAGATCCCCGTAAGGACATGACCGGGGAGAGCGTGGACGCACATCCAACAAGGCACCTCTCTTGCCACCCCACTTCGTAGTTGTTGGAACAGCAGTCGAGAACGCTGGCACACGGTGCCCTATCAGTTGCCCTTGAAGTTGCCCCAGAGCTGTTGCTGTGTGAGTGACGACCAGAATGCGTATCAACCTGATAATCATCCCGACCGCTGCAGTCTGGAAATCTCGAATGATCGAAGTACGCACACAACACGCCGGTACGCCGGTCCTTTCCGCCTGGTAGAACGGGTAGTTTACTGAATCAGGAGGTGCTCGGTAACTACAGTAGGAAGCTTAGTTCAGTCGTAGTGTTCAGTCTTGCGTCTTGCATGACGAAGTTTGGCCGCGTTATGCTTTGGGTATCCGACTATGGTTTTATTGTCCCGTGTACCAAAACGCGTTTCGTTGGAACACCCGAACTAGGCATTTGGATGCGATGCAACCGCGACGGATCCCGCGCCACGCGGGCTGCCGCAGAATACGATTAGCACCGAATAACAGCACACGTGAGCCAAGGCGGTAGTCCGTTATTCGATCTCGGCGTTATTCCCCTGCCTTCCCTGTAAAGCATGGAGGAAACTCGGAGAGACGGGAGGCGGGCCAACCAGATCCGCCCTCTCGCGGCAGAGCAGGGCATCCTCAACAGAGCGGACGGCTCCGCTCGCTTCGTGCAGGGCAACACCTCCGTCCTCGCCGCCGTCTACGGGCCGGCCCCGGCTAAGGCGTTGAGGATGGAGAGGCCAGAGGGTGCAACGTTAGATGTGAGCTTCAAGCCGGAGAGCGGGATAACGTTACCCGCCGATGCGGAATCGGCAGCGCTGCTGCGGAGGTCGCTGGAGGAGGTGGTGCTGAGGTCGAGATATCCTAGGACCGTGGTGTCAGTTATCATTCAGGTGTGCATCCATAGTTATGTCAAAGTTAAAGGAAGGAGTCAGGGTGGGTGTAAAGATGTCGTATCCGAACTTCTATAGCAGAGAAACAACAGCAGTATACTCTTATAGCTTTGGTGCTGGAACGCGGCTGGTGAAGCATGGTGATCATTATCGGTTTCTAGATATCCAACGATAGACAGAGAAGGGGTAGGGACCGGAGCTGAACAACCACACAATCTTCGCGCCTGATTCCCCCTCAATAACTGTCTCTATCTCTTTCTCTCTCTCCGCATGCAAGTCAACTATATCCAGCCGGGGGGGAACCGGCTGCAGCTACTTGCACGCAGTATAATTGGGAGCCAATCAGATGTATGTATCTGCACCAAACATTTGGAGAGCAATACATATACGTAAGGGACAGCAAGAGTGTGTATTGGGTGATCTTGCCTCACACGCATACCGACTACCAATGCCGCCTACTAGCTGCTTCGGTCCGTACTCCATCGTATCTGAGTCTCTGTGAGAGTTCATACCATTGGCGGCTTTTCTGCGTCGGAGTCGAACTGCCTATGCAGCAGTGCTGGATCTGAAGCGCAAGGCACACCGCCACATTCTAAATCGATTCAGGTTTATGTGCTTTCTTTGAAACATATCCCCGGCTGGAATATACCGGCGAAGGGATTTCCGGGATCCGCAGCGAGCAGTTACGCATGCTGCCGGCAGTGATATTCCGCTTGCGAAGCGTTGATAGCACCTGGTACAGTACTTGGAAGCATGTTGCAGCTCAAATTCCGCAATGCTTCACTTGTGGGGAAGAGGTACTGCCCCTATGTGGCAGCGGCATTTGGACTGTGGTTGATGGCTTTCGCGTCGTTCGGCAAGGACCGGGAAAGAGATAGCGTCATGTTTTGCACGATTTTTCACATGTCGTACATCCATAGTCTAAATCCATGAACAGCGAGCCTATTGACGCGCGCCCGTGTCTACCTCTATGCAGGTAGCCATCCACCTTGATGTTACCCGTGCCTGGTACAACATGCACAGTCACAAGCACGGCTTACGTTTGGTCATGGATTTATCGACGAAGTGACGCCACGCCAAACATATTGTACGCTTTCTCGTTCACGGAAAACGCGATAACACATTCATTTTTTGGAGCACCTGCCCAAAATGTCGTATGTGCGCAGTGCCCGCTTGATATTTCCGTTCTCCTGACATGCTTCAACAACCCCCAAACAATAAAACAGGTGATCGTTGACGACGGGGCTGTTCTGAGCGCTGCTCTGAACGCTGCTACGATGGCCCTCCTCAACGCCGGGGTAGAGATGACGGGCATGGCCCTCTCGGTCACCTGCTGCATCACCGCGGCGGTCTCTGGCCGGTCCGTGCTCTTGGACCCATGCAAGGCTGAGGAGATTGATGCAGCCGCCACCGCCGTCGTCGCCACTCTCTCCGCCGGTGGTGGAGTCCTGTCATGCCGCGCCGTCGGTTCGATGAGCCAGGAGGAGTATTTCGCGTGCTGCGAGGCGGCGTCGCTGGGCACGACGGCCGTGCGATCGTTCGTGAGGCTATCCGCAGAGCAGAAGGTCAACCGCGAAGCAGAAACTCTGAGATGACGATGGGAGCCTGAGCGTGAATGGAGCCTTTTGCAGCGTACTGTGGAATCGAGGGCGCCTTCCTGCATGTTGACTATCGTCGACGAATCCACCTGGCCGCTGCTGTCGCACGCGCGAAGATGAACTTGCCGGGTATGTGCGTGGACCAGCGTAACAGGCATTCGCTCTACCATTGTGACAGCTGTGCAGCGCGTGTCACCCGGCGCTGGAAAGGTGTGGCGTGGCGTTGAAGTCGAGCATGACTGCTGCAAGTGTTCGTTTGGGCTTACGATGAAAATTGACGCGAAGAACCGAGTCTCATGATTCAAAATCGGCGGTCGTCATTCGTGAGCGAATCTTTAGGCTGTTGCACAAAAGTTTTCAGGTTCACCCATATGATTAGTAGTTCAAGCAAGGAGTGCAGCTGAATAATGTTGTCTTGGTTAGTTCTGGCTTGATCTTGAACTGCAACAGACGACGACCAGTTTCTTTCCAGCCCAGCTAGCAACCATATTGGGCTTGCGCGTGTGAAAATTCTGCTGTGCGAGGAGTGGGCACGCCGCCACTTCGTTGCCCGATTGCTGGACCAATCCGCAACCGGCGAAGAAGGCCATGATGCAAATGGTGGCGTAGCGTTGGTAAAGACAGTGGTTTCCTCATCCAGCTGTACGACTCAGTAGTGAAGCCTGCTGCATTCGGTTTTGGCAGGCCAGTTGTCCACGAGATAAGACTTTTGGAAGATTTTGCGGTTTGACAACCTCCAGCCTAGTCGGTAGAGTGCCGGATATGGTGCCCTGAGAAGCTTTGATCAGCGCCTGTGGAGTCGGCTTGTCTCAGGGTACAGTAACGAACGTGTCTTTCCCCCCACTTGTTGTCTCGAGAAACGCTTTCATGTCGATGGCGCAACTTCACGGACGTAAATCCTTGTGCCCGTCGGTGGTTTCGTGGATGCCGTTTGGGCCCGTGTATTGGAATGAGCGGAAAGCGATCTCGAGGAGCAGCCTTGATGGACCTCTGTTCCTGCACTGTTGCGAAGCCATTTCACTCAACGTTGAGCGAGTTCTATTAGGCTGCTGCTCCATATGGTCACTGCCAACTCGCGTGCGTGCGCTCGCTGTACAACATTTTGGAGACTTGTATGCACAGGAGCCAAAAGGTACAGATTTGAAATCGAAGGATATGGGCGCAAGCGTTGCCTCAGGAGCATGCCTTCGAGTGGACTGGAAATTTGCCTTCTTTGGGGATGCTAATATATACCTTGACGCGTAATAGCTACTAACTGCAACGAATGACCTGGTGGGTTACGAGCACGTTTTCAGTATATCTCTCTCCCCACGTTCGCTCCAGAGCTCCAGAGTGATAGAATATTACGTAGGGGGGTCACCTCATCTTACACTTTTGCGCAGGGGCACACACTCAAGGGAAAACTGTTGGTGTTGATTTCGGGCTAAGATCGCCGAAACAGGGGCGCAGGTTTGTTCACACAAGTGTAACATGTTGCTCGTAAAATGCACCCCCCTCCCGCCGTGGCATCAGTCTCCATCCCAACTTGGTTGCCATCCAAATCCCGGCCGCTGATTCCAGCAAGATACAGACGTTGGGCCTGCCTGTGCTGTGGGTTGACGAAGACATGCCGAGGAACATCTATTTTTGAGGATGGTTCAAGCCTTAACTCTGTTTCGACACTGAGCCTGCTACTTAGCTACCTGAAGCAATCAGTGCGGTGCCGGTGGCTGAGCCCATTTTCTCACACCCTTTGTATATTTAGCAAATCTGAAGGTGTGGTTCTAATGAGGTCTACACTGTCTGAACGGTGGTTCGTTGGGTGTTCTTTGTGCTGTAATGACCCAAAATGCGATGATACATTGGGCGTTGTGAAGCACGAACAAATTAGAACAAGACCCAGTTGACTGGTGATATCCCTTCATAGCAAGATTTCGACGCGTACCTTTGAATCCTGTCTCTGACACTGGTAAAGTTCGTGGTGTGTACTCCGTTAAGGGCGCGGGGGGGTTCGCGTGACCTCTGAAAAATCCAGGAACGCCTGCATATCTCAGACTTCTAAAGTCTAGCCCCAGTACGAACCTACGATCGCGTCCTCCGCCGCCGTTTGGGTAAAATGTTAGTGTCGGGGATTGTCGGGGATTGTAGCCCTTGTGATACACTGCAGACCAGCGGTCCCCGATTTTCCATCGATCCTTCTATCGTTGAGATCGGTGTGCAACAAGCAGGATTTTTGAACCTGCCGTGCGGTCCGATTTTCAAACGCTCCAAGCACCATTCCTAATGGCTAGATCTACATGTACATGATCCTGTTCGTGAGTCTGCGAACATTGCTGTTGGATACATGTGCTGGATGATTTTGTGTCACGCAGACTGGTAAGATAACCGTTTGATAGGGGGCACCGTGATGATTCACGGGGCCCCTCCTTGTTGTGGGAGCCGCTCTTTGAGCACTCCCTCTTTCGTCCGTGTGAAGGACGGTCGTCTACCTCCCGTGAAGTTAATACATCACCAAAACAGTCTCACCCGATAAATAAGTGGCGTAGGCCGCAAACACTCTAGAGTTTGCCCCTCGAGGGAAGCCACATCGGGATGAGCTCTGCTGGAGACGAAGAGCGCGCTGCTGCGAGCGGAGAACAG